ACTGTACTGGGCTACAACCAGTAAGAAAGTGTACTAGGCTATCAACCAAGTAAACAAGTGTACTAGGCCATCAACCAAGTAAGCCAGTGTACTAGGCTATCAACCAAGTAAGCCAGTGTACTAGGCTATCAACCAACTAAACAAGTGTACTAGGCTATCAACCAAGTAAGCACGTGTACTAGGCTATCAATCAACTAAGCAAGTGTACTAGGCTATCAACCACGTAAACAAGTGTACTAAACTATCAACCAAGTAAACCTATGTTCAAAGATATTTACACAGCAATATATGCACTTGCAGTCTAGAATACACTGGCACAACTTGAATAATCAAGCTAACACCGGGACCACAGTTCGATTCCTCGTCCCTCCACCTGTTTAATGACTACGAGTCGTTCATTGCGACTTGAATTTACGGTAAGACAGCTTTACAAATTGGTTGAGGAATATACGAGTGAAAATGGCTGGGTTCAGAAAGGCCAACGCGATCCAGCTGAACTAATGCAGATTTTTCCCAATTCTTTGGAACAATATTCTTAGGCTCTTGGATAGAGAGATTTTGTATGGGAAGAATGGAAAGGCTCACTATGTGGAAGAGAAGAAACGATAGACATTTCCGGTCATCCTGGACCATTACACTATGTAACACAATTTTTGTTCCTGGCAAGTAATCGTTATTTTCCAACTCCTTTTATTGCAAAACAATAGATAATGCCCATTATTCCTTTTAAACTTTGCGTTTGTGGCTTACTGGATGAATTTTGGGCAAAAAATGGCTAAATTTCAAATTTTTTTTGCTAGTTTTGAATGTAAAACAAAAACATACAATAAATTTAATAAAATTTACATAAATTAAAATTTACACAAATTTTATTTTAAATTTTTGAAACATATTTACAAAGTTAAAAATGAGCAGTTTTTTTTTAGATTTGCCAGCAGCAACAAATCACTTTCCCGTTTAAGCCCCCAAATGTAGTTTCCCATCATGCTTTCATTACAAATCTCTGATATCTGGGTTGAAAGTTCATTATATCTTGGTGGAAGCGCTCCCCTTGCTCCTCTGAGTATGTTCCCATATTATCCTTGAAATTGTCAAGATAAGCATCAAGGATCATACAGTCCATCTGACCATAGCTTTTTAACGAGGTCTCAACAGGTTACACATAACTGTCAGCCTTGTTGCCCAGAAAGTCCTGTGCTACAGCAACAAAACTCTCCCAGGCTTCCTTTTCCTTCTCCGTGAGCTTTGCAAATTCTGAGCAATCCATGATTTTCCTGACTTGTGGTCCAGTGAAGATGCCAGCCTTAACCTTTGCCTCTGATAGCTTGGGAAAGTCTTGAAGACCATTGAAGGCTGCAGACTCTTTGTCTAGAGCTTTAACAGACTGTTTCACTAGCTCTAGTTTGAAGTGTAATGGAGGGAACAGAACCTTTTCAGGATCCACCAGTGGTTTATGTTTGATATTAAAGCTTCTTACTGAGAACTCAGTCCTTTGAGGCCAGTGCTTCCTCTGGTAATGTGCTGCTTTGTCTCTACTATCCCAGTGACAGAGATGACAGGAAAATTTTGTAAAACCTCCTTTGAGTCCCACCAAAAATGCCACCATTTTGAAGTCTCCAATAACCTCCCAGCCATACTTATCATAGTTCAAAGCTTCCAGTAGAAGTTTGACACTGTTGTAGTCCTCCTTAAGATGTACTGAATGAGCCAAGGGAAGAGATGGATACTTGTTCTCATTGTGCAGAAGTACAGGTTTTTGACTTCTGGAGGAGCTGTCAATGAAGAGTCTCCACTCATCTGGATTGCATGCAATTCCAAGTGCATCAAACAAGCTTGATACATCATTCCAGTAGCACAACCTGCCTTCATTAGTGAAGAAGCTTGAGAAATGTTGGTGACGTTTTCTTTGGCATGTCACTTGCACACTTTCATCCACCAAGTACCACTCCTTGAGCCTTGAAATCAAAATCTCAGCATTTGACTTTGTCAAACCAAGATCTCTGATAAGGACATTGAGGTCTGTTTGGTTTGGGTAGTAAGTATTCCTCCCAACAGCTGCATCTGTGAGATTAGTCTTGTTCACTGTGCTCTTCTGATTTTCTGCTTTCTTCTTCTGACGGTTGACTTCTTTCTGGAGGTGTAGGTACAGGAAGTTCAGCACTGTGTGGTACTGGTGCAATAGAAGAGGGAAGGTCTGGATAAGAAATATCAGGTTCATTTTTCCTAGTTCAGTGTTTGGAAGGATCCACCAGACAGAAGTAGCAGTTGGTTGAGTGATCAGTGGGTTTACGCCTTATTCTAGGAGCACCAAACTTTGTGGCTCTTACCTTACCTTTCTTAACTTCCAATGGTTTTTTAAAATTTTCCCAAAAGCAACATGAGGCCCCCCGGGTTTCTTGTTTTGGGCCCACAACGGCAGGGACGAAATATCCCTTTTGTAAACACCCACATTTTTTTTTGTGTTGTTACAGAAAACCCTTCTTTTTTTTGTCATAAGGGAATTGCCCACATATGTACCCAGAATACATTGGGGGTTTGACTCCCACCCTCTTCATCCCAAATTTCACTTCTTTTCCAGGTTTACTGAATGCGGGTTTTGGTGAACCCTTTTGGTTTTTATTTTTCCCGCAAAACCTTTAAAAATTAATAGTTTTACATTAAGTTTTTGAAGCAAAATTTTGGGGAAATAAAAACGTTTTCTTAAATTTTGTTTTTAAAAAAAAAATTTGGGGAAAATATTTTTTTCCCAGGAACACGACAAAAAAAAAATATTGTTCCCATAGTTTTAAATTTTGGCCCAAAGGGGGAGGGGAAACGTCGTTGATGTTTCCCTTTGAAAATTTTGTGGGGGTTATTTTTCAAAAATTATCCCCCCACGTTCAATTTTGTTACGTAAAATTTTTCCAGAAGGGGGTTTACCATGTGACTGCGTGATATCGGACTTAAATGAGCAGTTTGTTTGATTGCCAGCAATTTCAACAAGAGGAGTGTTGCCCCCCTTTTAATGGGTTACAATGATTATTTTGTTTATATGTAAGGGATATTCCCTTTTTCATAAAATTTTATATTGTTATTTTTGCGATAATGGGCAAAATCGAAATGTATGACTTTATATTATTATTTGACTTTTAATATTGTTATTTAGTTTTTTTTTGGGGGTTGTATATAAAATGTCCCCTAGTTAGGCTTGTTTGTCCAACTACTGAATTATCGCTTGTCGCTCGTTTAATCCCGGGTTCTGAGCTGCATTTGGTCCTCTTTGTATCCGTGATGGGGGGGGGGGTGTCTTCACCTCTCGGGGAAATTGCAGTCTGTGGAGATCGCTTGGTGGTTGGAAGATTGTCTGTCTGACAGTTGCTGGAGCTCGTTTGGGGGTTTGGGACAGATTGTTGTTTCAGTCTGTGGGACTCGCTTGCGGGTTGGACGATTGCCCTGTTGACAGTCTGCTGGAAAACTCGCTTGTGGTTGGACAGTTTGGGTCTGTTTTAAATTTTTTCTTGTTAGTTCTGTAGAATTTGTTCACAAAACATTGAAAAAGACTTGGGATTTTCGACGTTGTACTGGGTTTTTGTGTCCCCATAGCCCATTTGAACATCTCGGGCCCCTTTGCTTTACCCTTCTGACCTAATTTTTTTTATGGTTTCTGTGTTTTGTCACAGTTCGTGTTTTTCCCTTGTTGAACAAAGATTAAGTATTATGGGATTTTTTGAAACTTTAGTGGGGATTGCGGGTTTGGCCCCCTACTTAGTGCTTTTATATTTTCCCATTTCCCTGATTTTTTGCGCAGTCGTTGATATTGCATTGCTTTTTGGGTTTAGCATTCTTTTTTTGTTAAAAGAGACTTTTTGGGGTTGCCAGTCGGTCAAGGGGGTTAGTTTATTTGGGGACTTTGCCCCGTCACTTTTTTAAGTCTAATTCGGGGCTTGAGACCGCAAACCCTTTTTAAAGAGCACTTCCCACGCATCAACACTTGTATTATTTGTAATATTTTTTAAATGTTAATGTCCCTGACGGTACTTAAAAATTTTAAAAAATGTGTTATGGCTTCGCACTTAATATTGAACTCGAGAGATTGATTTTTTTTTTGATTGTTGAAATTTAAATTTTAATTTGTTTAAAAATACCTTAGACAACAACTACTTAAAAAAAATTTTTTAAAATTTTTTTAATTTTCAAATTTTAGTAGCCTTCCGGGTTGTAATCCTGAAGAAATTTTGGGAATAAAAACAAAATTTTTAATGGTTTAATTTGGAAAAGGGGATACTGATACTTTTTACAAAAACCCAGTAACAGGTGGATGCTAAAAGGGGCATTTCCTTTTTCTAGTTTTTCACTGGAAAAATCTTAAGCTTTTAGAATCGCCTTTTTTTTTAAACCCAAATGGGGGCCTGTCCGGGGGCTTTTGTTTCCAAGGTTTTGGAGTTTTTGGGTTCAGTTTGACATACTAGTAAAACTT